AACATTGAAAATCTCGTGAAACTTATGAAATCATGATATAGATAATATTAATATAGTTGTGAAATCATGATATAGCTAATACTAACCCGTAATAGGTTAACGACTAAGAAGAAGAATGTTGAAACTTATACTGTCAGAAGGTATAATGACAGCAACGTATTTGGGGGTAAAAACATATAGCATTTGCAAAAACAACCGTCCGATAACTAACTTTAACTGCATCACGTTCATAGACCTATAAATTGCTGGTATTTTGCAAGGTAAAAAAATTGTTCGCGCTTAATTCACTATCAGGTCCTTCGATACCATGTTGTGTCGGTTTATTGCTTCAGCTTCAGAAAATATCACTTAAAATGATAGATATAAATTTAATAACTAATTTGCTGTTAAGCAATACTCAACATGCCAAAACACGAGCAATATTTGTAGATAAAGTAATTTTTTGCAAATTCTCAATTTTTAAAGGAAGTAATTGTATTCAATATATATTTATATATATTATATATATATATATAATAATTAATATAATATAAATATTATATTATATATATATATTATATTATAGGGTTTCCTTATAGGTTGTTAATCGATCCAACAGATTAATTTTTCATACTCTTTCTATGATGTAGTGAAAAACTAGGTAGAACATGCAACTAAAACCTGATACTTTAAACACTTTAAATAATAATCCACAAGGAATCTACGTTCCTGTAGTAAATAATATTGGCGGTGCGTCCGCTCGAGGACTAGTTTGGCAGTATTTTGCGTAAATTGTAAATTGATAGACTGGCTAAAAACTAAAAGACACAAATTAAAAATTAGAAACTACTTTATGAAAATCTAACTAACAGGCAAAACATTCACGATCCGAATAATATACAAGATTATTGTCCTGAAGCTACTTTATCAATAAAAAATACTATTTAAAATTATACAAGAAATTTAAAAATAGATACGTAATCCAACCATGAATATTTAACCACAGTTAAATAAAAACGAAATCCAGAATATCTTGAGAACCACAACAGAGTGTAACCACAATAATGAGAAAGTATAAATAAACAAAAAAAAGCAATGGAAATATTTGAATGTGTTAGAATCAAATGTTTAAAATATCAGATAAATATATTTCTCTTTTAATCTCTTTAATAATATATTATTAACGTTTAATGCAACTAATGTAATTAGTGGATGAATTTTATTAAATATCTACTATTCGTTCATATTCCGAACTATTTTAAAAATGAATAGAAATATACGAACTACTCACAGTTTGGCTAAATGCTCTCATAGTATTGATACTTAAAAAAGGAAATAAATATAAATTAGATAATTATATCAATCAACTTATTATTAGTCTTATATAAACTGTTTACAAAGATAATTACGTCGTGAATAACAATGGGTTGCGGGTGGATACTTTTCTACGATCCCGGCAGGTTATAGATCTACTTCAGGAATAGCTAACCTGCTCACGCGAGCTCATGAACTTTCCAGCATCCCATCCCCGGGGAAACCATGTCCAAACCCAAAGCATTCCCATCTCCACCCTTTACTCCCGTCCACTTCCATACCAACTCACCAACATGCACTAGCCAAGCGTGACGTTTTAATGGCTTAAAATACCAAAAGTTATTTTACATGACAGACGAAACTACTGAACGGCCCTGAGTCTCCGACGGCTAGAACCAAGGTAGCGGTTGGAACAGGTTTGGATCAGAGGGTGCTAAAAATCCCCGAAAAATGTATGCAAACAAATACAATGTAGAACTCTTATCAGAAGATGATGGAACTGCGGGACGAGTTGAAAAGAATAAAATGGGACCTCATCGGTCTCAGCGAAATAAGGCGAAGGGGAGAAACCCAAATTACTCTTAAATCAGGGAACGTATTTCATTTTAGAGGAGTAGAAGACACTTCAAATGGTGGAGTAGGATTCATTATACATAGAAAGAACACAAAAAATATAGTTGAAATTATCAGCATAAGCCGAGGATTATATATCTCATCTTCAAACTAAATGCAAGATATAACTTTAAGATAATCTAGACAAATGCTCCAATGACTATCCACTCGGATGAAGAAATTGAAAAATTTGTGTCACACCAGCATATTACACAATAATTAATTATGGGCGACTTTAAGGTGAAAATGGGGTTTAAACAAGATGATGCAGAAGTAGCTGGGTAAGTATGAACACGGGCAAATATTGCTGAACTTCTTATACCAGGAAAATGTATCCATGATGAACATTTTTTTCAATAAATGCATCAGCTTAAAGGGACATGGATCAGCCCAGATGGCAGTGTCAAAAATGAAATAGATTATATCATAACAAACATAAAAGAAATAATCAAAAACATCGAAGTACTCAACAAATTTTCAATAGAGAAGCGACCACAGATTAATCCGAGTTTAGATACTGTTAAATATCAAGTTGAAAAGAATGAAAGATGATCCTAAAAACAGGGAAAAATAGATTCCCCCAAAAAACAACGACCTGTATGAAGACACACTGGCCAGACATATACAAGAGTGGCAAGACGAAATAGAAGATGTAGATCAAGCAAATGATGGCATAACGAAGGCTCAAGAAGAAACGGAAAGGGAGTGCTGACAGACCGTTCTGACCCATAAAGAAAAACTAAGCCAAAATACTAAAGAGCTAATGGGTAAAGAAAACAGCTGACAGAAAAGTACGGCTCCAACTACACAAAAATAAAGAAATTAAATATAGATATCCACCGGTCAATCCGAAAAGAAGTAAGAGAAAACAATACAAGAGAAATAACTAAAATAATTCAAGAAAACAAAAGTTTAAAAGTTTTGAGGCGAAATACGGACAACATAGGCAACAAAAATAGTGTACAAAATAAAAAACAAAGATGGAAACAATACTACGGATAGAACCAAAATCCTTGAGGTTGTCGAATCCTTTTATAGCGAAATGTATGAGAGCACCGACGAAAGAAAAGATCAGTCCCTGCCCGAAATCACAAACCAGGGATCAGAATTAATGCCAGAAGTAACTCCATACGAAATCAAAACGGCACTTTTAAAAATGAAAAATAACAAATCCCCTGGCGATGACGGAGTAGTAATCGAAGCGATCCATTTAGGTGGAAATAAAATTATCCAGCCTTTGGCCAAGCTTTCCACCGAATGCATCTACCATGGAAAAATTCCTTCTCAATGGAACAACGCAGTCATTATTTTATTACACAAGCAAGGAGATATAACAGATCTAAAAAAACTACCGTCCAATCAGTTTTCTTTCACACAAATATATAAACTTTTTACAAAAATTATCAAAAAAAAAGACTGGACACTAAGTTAGACTTCTATCAGCCTAGAGAACAAGCTGGATTTATATCGGAATAGAGCAATAACGAGTACTTACTAGTTATAAAGACCCTATAGAACCTATAAGTCTGCAGAATACAATAAACCATTGGCACTGATATTTGTGAACTATGAGAAAGCACTCGATACCATAGGTCATCAGAAGATATTAAAGGAATTGACAGAATGCCTAATAGACCATCCCTACACTAACATAATCAAATATATCTACCAAAATACCACAGCTAGACAAGAAATAAATTCTGTATAAAGCTAGGAGTACGGCAAGAAGATACCGTCTCTGCAAAGCTATTCCCGACGCTTTTAGAACATACTTGTAAGAAGGCACACATGAACGAACCTGTTATCAACATAAATGGAGAGATATCTCAGTCATTTGATATTTGCAGATGACATCATTCTTATAGCCGATCGTATGGATGATGCAATAATAATGTTTGAAAAATTATATCACGCTTCCTTGGAGGTCGGATTAAAGATTAATATAAAAAAGACGCAAATAATGACTAATCTGGTGCTAAATCGAAATATTACTGTTGATGGAGCGGATATTGTACAGACTGCATCGTATAAGTACTTGGGACATGAAATTCGGTTGGGCAGGAATAACCAGACATGTGAGCTCCCACGTCGCATAGGATTAGGTTATTTAAATCGGACCTACTCATATGTAAAATATGTAAACTTCACAAACAGCAAGTAACTCAATAGGAACATAGGATGCTCAACAATGAAATAATAGTATATATTTATGTATAACAAAAGCATTTACCAAATCAGTAATTGAAAAATATACGACATTAATTAAAAAATTATAAAAGTAGTTAGATGTTCTGTATTTAAAATTCATCCACTCATTAAAAAATTCCAATTATTTATCCCACACCCGTTTCTATGAGATCAGCTAATACCTGTCAAGAGGCGACACCTTGGCCAACTTAACGGCATCCTGCCCCGGGGTTCCGGGCGAGGCACCTCTCTTAAGCGACCCTTCCTTGCTGCTTGCTCTTGGCGATGGTGACATGTTGTTCAGAGTCGACATGTTATTCAATGTCGAGATGTTGTTGGCGCCATTATTAGCTCCTCGTAAACCCAGCGCTAATGCTTGAATAGCAGCTAGACCAACTTGATGGTTGTTGTTGTTTGGAGCGTACCTTTACAAAAAAATGTTAAAGCAACAATACTCAGTAATAAAAATTTTATAATAATAAATATTTAAATTTTGTTAAGAATTTAAAATAATGAATACTAGAAAAAGTTTTAATTCAATTAGCTCATATTTCTTGGGCAAATAATCCAAGTGATAAGTAACTTATCCATTATTAGTTAAATAGAATCTATTTGCCACCCGTAGTCTAATCAACAAGCATGTGACTTCAGACAGTGTGATTTCAGACGGTTATGTCAGTCATGAGTCAGAACATAGGCCTCACAGGCGTACAATGCTGGACGTTACGTAGCGTATATGCGTTCGTGCTGGTTGAATTATGGGTAAGGATCATTTCTCTTCTCGTCTTATCATTGTATTGTTATCGTGTATGATATCATTAAAATGCTTATATAGCTTAAAATATGGCCTAGATATGACACCTTTCGCTATCGAACAATGTTTAGAAGCTCTCTTTGGGTATAAGTTCTTCATAATATCTCTTCATTTGTAATATGGCCACCGATGGAATTTTAAGCAATCTTCTGAGACACCACAATTCAAAGCTTTAATACAGTTTAGAGATTTTTACAGATCACCGAATACGGAGATATAAAGGAGTTTCGAGTTGACAAATGTAGTTATTGAATTTGGTAGAAGTATTTCTAGCTATTGCTACTCTTATCTTCACTTCTTCGTAGCAGTCCCATTTACTGTTTAAGGTAACTGCAAGATATTTAAATTTCTCAATTCTGTTTATAAGTTGGTTACTTATTTTCAGCTGTGCTTGCATATTAGGTTGTCTGCTGATTATTTACTATCTCTCGCAATTCTTCTACGTTGAGTGCTGTGATAGCTGTATCATCGGCATCGATCCATACTATGGCTCTGAAGCCCAATTCTAGCCCTTGCCTCCCCCATCAATCTCTCCATCTGTTACGGTCTGTAGCCATTGTACGCCTTCCACGATCAACTGCCAATGAGATATCTGGCGTCCTCTTTCATATCATCTTCTCATCACTTTTTCTTCCAATTCCCTGCATTCTTGTATTCAACAGCTTTTTCGGTATTATCGGCATATCGCAAATTATTTCCATTTATTTTGTTACCTCTTTCATTCATATAAAAGGGCAATGAATACAAACCATCGAACGGTCCGCATTCGTACCTGCACATTAAGTATCATATTGTAAAGAATATTTCTCGTAATATTGAATACACTTCTTTATTTTGATACCCTGAGAGTAATCCCATTCCTCATTAAAAATATTGTGTCGGAATGTTAAACCTGCCTTTTGCCTGTAAGGTTTATCGCAAATCAAATTCTAAATAAATTGTGGAGCTGAACATTGATGTTGATAATATTTTCATTAATTTTGAAGCCAGTTATATATCACACACAGTTTAAACGAAATAACTTTGGCCAGTAAAAGCTATGATGAACTCAATAACAGCAACGGTCATAATTCAGAATAAATTTACTGAAAGCTTCCAAAATGTCAAATTACATAACTTTTTCTTAGTTACAGTGTCATACAAAAGTGTCTTCATTGCACTATCCCTACTTATATTTAAAATATTATATAATAGTAATAATAAGTATTAACATATCTAATAAAATTTAAAAATTAGTAAAACACGTAGCAAGTAATACGAAAACTAATACAAACAACCACCTATGTATAAATAAAAATAACCTACCTAACTAGAGGTTCCAGAGCCAGCTCCTTTAATTCCAATTTTGGCGGTATGTTCTGCAACAAATTCTGCTCATCCAACAACTTTTGGATTTCTCTTTCAAATGGTATGTTAGTTATTTTATTTATTGGGCTTGTCTTTTCCCTAAAACCAACAGGGCTTCTTAACTTCCTTAAATCTTTCTTGTCGGTCTGGCAGCTACCATCTTTCTTGCAACTTTTGTCGGTACTAACTGTTGTTTTGTTGTCTTCTTCTCTTAACAACTGTCGAATTTCATCAGCTTCTTTAAAACTAGGGGATCTCTTACATGAGGAAGTTAATTTGTTACATTCTAAAATAGAGTCGCTGTCAGTTCGAGTCCTGTGCTTATCCAAATTAAGAATTTTCTTAGAACTCGCTGCACCCCTGGAACCGTTACTACTAATACTTCTTAGTAAAGGTGTTGGTTTGGTGACAAACTCAAAGCTAGCACAGCTTTCTCCTCGACAACTGTCTTCACCATCCAACACTGGGGGACTGGTAATTATGGAAGAATCTACAGTATTACAAGTACCTGCTAGCGCTAGCAAAGCAGCTGGAGCAAGATTATTTCTTTTAGAATCAGACGTGTTCCTAAGAGAACAATTAGGAGGTATGTAGTCCAAAGAAGCTCTTGGCGAAACTTCAGGCGAAGATAAAGGATTGACCTGAATGTCTGAAGGAAACAAAAATTGCTGCGCATCAGCAGGCAATGGTGGAGATACGCAGGGACTAGCATCGGCGTCAGTAGTCCTACTGTAGCTTTCATCAGAACTACTAATACTAGGTGAATGATTCAATGAGCTTATCTCGTCGGCGGAAGAATGAATTCTCTGAGGTATTCCAGGATTGTATACACCACCTATACTCTCATCTGAATAATGACGCTGAAGAGGGGAGTGCCGGTGATGATGAGGGCTGTGCCGGGACTGAGCTAAAGGATTGTGACGGGTTTGGATTTTATTTCGAAGTAGTTCAGGTGTATGTTCAGGGGTACGCTGATGCATATGAGACTGTTGTTGATGGGGAGGTGGTATGGGGGCGATGTTATGTTTCCTAAAAAATGTTTACAAGTTAATTAAAGCGAACTACTAACCTAGACGTCTATTGATTTATAAGAGTACGTATCATGCAAGTTATTGGAACTGTAATAAGAAAATATTAATTGTAAAAAACACAAGCCTTCTAATTAGAATGAATATTTACCTAGTATGTCTGTTGGGTGATTCTTTTCCAGGAGGTTTTGGTAGCGGTTTTAAATACGGTTTACTATTATCTACTGGTATTGGCCATGGAGGATTATATCTCATCTCAGGCGTTGCTTGTCTATGTATATTATTTTTATGTGGGGGTAAAGGAGGAGGAGGTAAACTTTCCTCTGCTGCTATTCCTTTCTTCTTTCCATTTCTAAAATGATTGTTAAATATCGTGACTAAAAACTGTAATAAATTTATCTTTTTGAAATAAAATGCCAACAACTTGTTAAATTCCAAACCAATGATATAAATAGTTTGGTCTATAACACATGCATGACAATCGCCAAAACAATTTGTATATGTAAAATGTTTTACGAATAACACATTAGTTCAAACGTCCGATATTTGAAAATCATAAAAACGTGCTAAATTTTGCTGAGAATGTCAATTTTGGGATCCCAAAAAACACGAAAACAGTTTACCACTCCTACTCCCCGGCTTTCCCCTAAAACGCCTCCTCATAGCAGAAAAAAACGGAAAAAATCGATTTACCAAGAATCTGTACGCCGTAGACAAAATTGTTTTGAACAAAAAATGCAGCTGAGATAATTTTGAACAAACATATTTATTACCACTTTCTGTGTAGAATGAAGAGTTCTCTCAGAAACAACGCTTCAATCGACATCCGATTTTGAACCGATCAGTTACGCGCGAGAAATAAATTTTAAATAAAACTCGACGGTAAAAATTCGATATCTTTTGTATGCAATTTTTGTATTTTGCCGTAAATGAAGCCAGTTTTTATAAAGGTGTTGAATATATAAATGTTGTGCGATTTTTGTAATTTTTTACGTTTCTTATGATATCAATAAAATTTATCACTTTCACTGAACGGTCGTCATCGAATTTCTATTGTTAGAGCCTAATCTTCAAAACCTATAACATTAAATTTCGGTTTTTAGTTTTGGCAACAAATATAAGGTATATGAAATATGTCTAGAAAGCAGAATTTAAACTTTTACGCTACAAACGATCGCGCGTCACTGGAAATGCACGCAGATAATGTTGGGCGATCTGTATATTTAAACTTATGTAGTATCGAAAAATTTACTTTACAATGAAAGTGATTAATTTTATTGATCTCATGAGAAACATAAAAATGGCAAAAATTGCAAACGTTTATTTATTTAACACCTTTATAAAAACTGAGTTTATTTATCTGACAAAATACAAAAATGTCATACAAAGGACGCACTCCTCACCTTTAAAACGCATTTTGGTTTTTATCGATAGGACACTCCGTTCAAAAGATATCGAATTTTTACCGTCGAGGAACTGACATTCAAAATCGGCAGTCACTTTAGGCGTTGTTTCTCAGAGAACAGTTCGTTCTACATAAAAAGTGCTAATAAACATTTGTTTAAAATTATGTAAGCTACATTTTTTTAATTGAAACATTTTTTTTTCCTAATTCTTGGTAAATCCATTATTTCTGTCTTCTTCCCTGCGGCGGGGTTTTAGGAGGAAGACGGGGAGGATGAGAAGGAGTAGTAAACTTTTTTTAAATTCCAAAATTGACATTATCAGCAAAATTCAGTGTGTTGGTGTGAGGTTTAATGGCATTTTCGTCTCTGACGACTGGAGAAATATACTTATACCTCTCGCGCTCTGTCTACCATCCATCTGTTCCTGATTTCCTACTATTTATAATTCCTTATATTTCATAGTAATAGAGTAACATTAACGCCATATGATACTGCTGACCTTTTGGGTGTTAAGCTTGGAGTATAGATTTTTAATTTGATCCTATTATCTTACTACAGATATTCCTCTAAACTTTCAACGGCAACATAAACTTTTATAATATTGTTGTGAAGCTATTTTCTTGTGGCATTTTATAGTATATTACATAACGAGAGTTGTAAGAAGCTTATTACATGCGAGTAAAAAAGTTGCGCGCGAGCCGCGTAGCGGCGAGCGCAGTAATTTTACAAGCATGTAATAAGCTTACAACTCAAGTTGTGTACTATACTTTTTCTACCATTATTTTCGTTTACAAAAATAAAAATTAAATTACCACTATATTTACACTGACAGTTTAATAATTTTTAATCTGTCAAAATAACGTCTGTGATTTCGTTTCCATGGTAACTCGACCAACTGACTTACGAGGCTTATGTGATATTACACATTTTTATAAAACTGAAGCGTAATTTTTTTTATTACGTGCTAGTCATTACGTGTCAGTATCTGTTATGATGCATTTACTTCGCATCCAAATAGTAGGTAATATACAATTTACTAGTAAGAGAGTAGAAAAAAGTATTTTCTATTTGAATGGGAATAAGCCACGATTAAAGGTTAAACTATGTTTATTCACGTTTCAATTTCCACTTCGGAAATCGTTTTCTAGAGAACGATTTCCGAAGTGAAAATTGAAAAGTCAATAAACTTACTTTAACATGAATTATCGCTTATTCCCATTTAAATAGTAACTTTTATAATATTATGTCCATTACTCGTCTGACTAAAATATTGTAGAGCCTTTGGTTAGTGGTGGTAGTAAGTCTAGTAATTTTTATGTGAGATGCATCATCAAAGATATATATGCAGAATTTACTAAAAATCCACTTTTACGAAATAAACTCATATTCTGGTTGATTCCTTCCAAGCTATTTTTTTTTTCATAATATTATTCACATTTTAAATATTTTTGGTAATAAACTATTATTATAATTAAAAATATTTTATACTTAACGTTTCAATTTCCAGCGTAGAAATCGTTGGAAAATATAAGTTAAACAAGTTATTTTGTTCTGTTACGTGGGAATAGAAATATTATTGTAGTACCTTAATTTACGCTGATAACCTGGTCATTTAAGGGCTTAAAATAAGTCCAAAGAAGTTTAAAATTATGCAATTTACCAGCAGGAGGAATTTAGAGGCATGACTAGGTCCTCCGTAATGATACAAATGTAAATCTGGTGAGTGAAGTAAGTACCTTGGGGTACGGGTAATGCATAACCAAGAGAGGGATAACTACGATAATGGTAGTCCGACGCACTCATGAAAAATGTGGGTTTTAAAACCAGATATCCTCAAACTAAGCAAGGCGCAAAGACGTGTGTGTCTTGGAATTACAGGGACTCTAAGACAACTCTTGCTCCAGGGATATAATATATAATATATATATATATATATATATATATAATATATATATACATATATATATACATATATATATACAATATATATATATATATAATATATATATATATATAATATATATATATATATGTATATATATATGTATATATATATGTATATATATATATATATAATATATATAATATATATATATATATATATATATCTGTACCGTAGAGGTAAAGGGTAGTAACTCCATTTTTTTCTAATTTGGACTTAAAACAGTGGCTAAGCTTAATAGGTTCCAATCTTATTTGTGGCAAAAGATGGTACGTGAAGTATTACTGGTGGCCTAGATATTCTTATAAGAAAACATAGTATATCCTTTGGAGAACAAGGTAAAGCATAGTAACTCCATGAGCGATCGGATTTCTTAATCGGGTACGCTATTTCGCTCGATGTAAACAGCAGTATTTCCACACTAGTGTTAGTCACCTTAATTGGTAGAGCATTTTACTTGATAGATAGTTGACAGTTACAAAAAATAAAAGCAAAAATGAATTCCTCCGTGCTACGAAAGTGATTATTCTCGATCCAAAACTGCCAAAAAATATCTAGGACCAGAATTAGGCCGTGAAAAAATGTACAAATTATATACCTTAAAGTGTGAGGAAGAACATTACAAACAATGAAATTGTTAAATTATGGCTATATAAAAAATTTTCAATATTGATTTTAATGTAGAATTTAAATCGGTTTCCGTGGATACTTGTGATAGTTGCGATCGGTTTATGCTACAATTAAAAAACTGCCCAGAGCAAGAGACAAAAACATTACGGCGAAATTATGAACAGCATCTGCAAGAAGCAGAAAGTTGATACAAAATGAAAGCAAACGATAAAAAAGAAAGCAGACAATCAGCTGGAAAAACTAAAATTTTAATGTGTGATTTGCAGAAATGCTTGCCTACGCCTTGTTTGACAAATAAATAAAGTTTCTACTAGCTGAAATTATGGACTATAAATTTCACAATATACGACGCACAGAAAATAAATTGTATTGCCTTATCTGGGATAAATCCGAAGCTGAAAGAGATAGCATTGAAATTTCCTCGGCATTAAATAAATGGGTTATGACAGTTCTATCACAAACTGATGTGGAAGAATTGGTTATTTGGTCAGATAATTTCCCTAATCAAAACCGCAATTTTGTGGTAATGATGAGCTACTTTGGCTTTTGAACATCTGCCCTAATTTAAAAGTAGATAACCATAAATATTTACTGAGAGGAGACACTCATTTAGAAGCTGACCAAGTGCACACTATAATTGAAAGATTTGTAATAAAACAGCCAATAATGCAGATCGTAACACCTTGGGATTGGCAGCAATTAATCAGTTTCGTAGGTGCTCAGGTAATTAAAATGGGCAAATATGACTTCAAAAACTTTGAAGTACTTTACGCTCAGTCTTAATCTCAATTCATCAGTAAAAAGAAAAATACCGACAATAATAATTTCTTTATTTCAAACCTAGTCCAATTCCAAGTAAAAAAAGACACGCCGACCATAATTTTTTATACAGAGGCTTTTGAAGAAATTAGACCCACAGAATTGTACGTCGCTATAAGAACAGCAACTGCGACCAATCTTCCAGAGCAGTTACCACTACGATATCAAAAACCAAAAGGGATTACACAGAAGAAAAATGATCACTTACAACTCCTTTTACAATGGATACCATGTCAGTTTCATGAGTTCTATAGAAATTTAGTTCTTACCAAAAAAAATGTTGATGATAGCAATAATGAATAAATGTTTTTTTTTATCATTTTTTGTGTTTTTCTTTGAGTTTATGTAGGCACTTACTATTTTGTACACTGTTTTATCTGCTGGTACATGCCGAGGCAAAAGACCTTAAGTCCCAATATTGTTCAATATATAAACAAATTTTTTCTCATAGTACGACAATATTGATTAACTAATATATAACGTTACAATTATATAAATACATAATTTCATATGTCTTCAGATTAAGAATGATTGCAATAATTTTCTGGAACTCATCTTATATTTCCATTATCTCAAAACTTCAGTCGATGGATATACTACCCTTTACCTCTACGGTACAGATATATATATATATGTATATATATATATATATATATATAATATAATACATATACATACATATATATATACATATATATATACATATATATATATATATATATATATATATATATATATATATATATATATATATATATATATATATATATAAACAGGGGAATTTTAACGAATTTGTCCTATATTTGGCTATTTTATAGAACAAAGCGATAGCAGCTTATGCTAAAAGATTTATTCTTTTACACATTTCGCATAGCCCAGAGGTAGAATATGCTGTGATTTTATCGTTTTCGTTCACGGCCGCCAAAACAGGTGGCGCGTCTGCACGCTAACCACTGCGGTGGTGAAGCGTTAGGACACATTCGTTTTACTTTCTGGGTTTGAATTTGTATCAGCCCAAGTATCTGATGAGGCTGGGATAGGCCGAAATGAGTCATAACACTTCATTGATAACGATTCGAACACGGTAAGTTTAATGAATTTGTCCTCCTAGGCCATATATTTGGCCATTTAATACAACAAAACGATAGCAGCTTTTGCTAAAAGATTTATTCTTTTGTATTGCAGGAGAAATTAACACAAGAGCTTTTGAACTGAAGCAGATCAATAAATGCACAGATGGTCAAGCGGCTATAGGGGCTCTTAGAAGCCCTACGGTGAACTGTAGCTATGGGAATGCCGAAAATAGCTCGATAGACTAGCGGAAACGTGTCACACTGTATGGATGGTATGGATTCCGGGTCACTGAAGAATATACGGCAATGAAAGAGCTAATGAAATTAGTCGAAGTCGACCCAAGGCCAGCTGTACGAGTATTAAAAAGCGCCGTTCGTGACCGAAAAAAGGCTGAATATAAACACAACATAAAACTATACCTGGAAAATATATATTTGACAGATATGTGTTAATAAGGCTAAAGTTAAGCAGAAATTAAGCAAGAATCAGCTCACTGGGTATACGCCCGTCAAGAGACATCTGCATATAATGGGGCTGCTTCATGGAGACTAAAGCTGCAAACTCTATATGAGAGAACCTAAAACAGGTTCCAGAATTCTGAAATGTATATCTTGAACGAATGGAAGATATACAATAGAGTAATTAGCTGCAGTATAACGAGGTTATAACAGACAGCTACCGAAATAAAAGGAAAGCTTAATTTTAGCTGGTTCATTAAGAATTATAATTTCGACAGAATATACGGTAAATTAATAAAATGTTAAAAGTAAAACAAATTAAAATGATATTATCTGTATTTTTAAGCTTCCTTTTTTTGACGACTTTATTGAATGATAGAAATATTTGTCATAAAAATAGTAATAGTATGTGATTGACAATCAATTATATCCAATAACCTGACGAGGTACTGTTAATACAACAATATAGTACCCTCTTTGAGGAAAATTATGTAAAGTCCCAGAATGAAGAAGATCTACGCTACGGTTAGAATAAAGCAGCTCCAACTCCAGTTAGATAACTTACAAAAATTAAATGAAAGCTTGCAGTTAAAATTTGCAGATCTAGAGAAAAACTTGTCCAAAGAGAAAGAACTTAAGAATGAGGAATTTCATACTGATGAGGAGGAATTAGCTGAGGAGCCAGAGTGGATACGTGTAAAAAACTTTAAAAAACGTAAAATGGATACATTATTGACCCCACCACAAAAAGAGTCATATGTCCAACAAAGAGAAGTAAAGTCAGACCCAAAGAATTAGTCAGACTACATACTGCTAAATTCCAGATAAAAGTACTTGGAGACAAAAGCGCTACAATTAATGTCGATAGTATAGAAGACTTCAGAAAATTGACAAAAAAGTTGAGTGAAGTAAATTATCCATGGCATACGTATGAAAATAAGCAAAGCCGACTTATTAAAGTTATGGTCAATAAGTTACATCATTTAGCCAGTAAGGATTCGATCATGAACGATTTAAGTAATAAAGGATTCAAGATAATAGATGTCATACCAAAATTAAAATACAAAACAAAGCAACCACTAAATATGTTTATGTTGGTATTTAGAAATGACGAAAATATCAATACAATCTATGAGATCTCAGATATCATGAGCGTAAAAATACAAATACTTCCGCTAAGAAAATCAAAATTGAAAACCTCAATGTTAGAGATGTCAGGCATATACAAATTCAAACAATAAAAGATAAATATAACAAGAAACAGACCTTACAGACAACCACAAAGAATGCATCCAAAACCTGTAGAAAATCCAAAACAAGAAGAAAACAAAACAAAAACTTATAGCATAACCAGAATAGAATATAGCACCAAATGAGCTATACCTAAATAAGTTGGTAATGGCGGGTAGTTTACGAATAGTAGAATGGAATGCAAATAACATCTTGAAACATCACCAAGAACTACAAGCGCTACTAGACATAGAAAAAATAGACATATGCCTCATTTCTGAAACCTATTTTACGAATGAGTCATATCTTAGATTTAGGGGTTATAAAACTTATCATACTACTCACCCTGATAATGCAGCCAAAGGAGGTAGTGCAGTAATGTCAAAGAAAATATTATGCACTATCAGGAAATGGGATATAGAACTAAAGAATTTCAGGCCACATCAGTAAAAATTAAATTTAAAAGCTACGAGGTAATCGTCACAGCGGTTTACAGTCCGCCAAGACATGCCATCAAGAAAAATCAATCTATAGATTTCCTGACCAGTCAAGGACATAGATTTATCCTTGGAGGAGACTTCAATATAAAACATACGCATTGGAGGACACGACTGACTACCAATAAAGGGAAAGAATTTTTAGAAGCAACGACATACATAAAATGCGACGCAATATCAACGGGAAAGCCAACATACTGGCCTACTGACGCAAATAAAATCCCAGACCTTATCGACTTCTTTAAGATTAACCTCTCAGTTCCATTAAGAACTGTTGATCAACTAAAGGCAGAAGTAGAATTACTTAATAAAAAAGCACAACAAGCTGCTTGAAACACAGCACGAACAGTGTCGAAAAAATAAAAGGAAATAACTACCCGAAAGAAATCAGAGAAATGATAACCGAAAAAAGAAAACTGAGACGCAAGTGGCATCAGTCTAGAGCACCAGTTAATAAAACTAGATTGCATAATGTAACACAAAAATTAAAAAACGAGAAATTCAAAAAACTATCGGTTAGCATCTACTTAAGTTAACTATCAAGTGATAGCGCTACTGATTACTCATTGTGGATGGCTACCAAACGATTAAGGCCAATCTTACAGCATCCACCAATTAGAAATACTAATGGTAGCTGGGCAAGGAGCATTATACAAAAGGCCAACAGATTTGCTGACCACCTAGACAATACTTTTCAACCAAATGGAGAATAAGAAATAATTAACTGGGAGCTACCAGATCGAGATGAAACGGAAATTAGCCCTGTTACTACAAAAAAAGTATATTTGGAAATAAAAGAAAATATAAGTCCAAAGAAAGCTCCTGGATTTGATCTAATTACTGGGGAAATGTTAAAGCAACTTTCAAGAAAAGCTAAAATAAAATTAACACATCTTATAAACGCTTCCTTTAGAATGAGGTACGTACCAAAGATATGGAACGTGGCAGAAATTATAATGACACTAAAACCAGAAAAACCTCCGCAAGAAGCTTCTTCATATAGCCTATTTCACTGTTGGCTCTATATATTACCTCTATATAATATATTCTAACAAACAAACAAACAAAAAGAAAATAGTTGGAAAATAAATAATGTCCTATTGAGATGTATTATTGGTGTCAAATGTTAAGAGTGTTTTACATAATTACAATAACAACTTAAAGGCTCAAGATCAAAGCACCATATTAGTTTGAGAAATACTAGAACACAAGTATACAATTAATGATTCAAATCTGGTAATTATTGTTTTATATCTATAGTTATTTACTTTAACAAATATTCCTTACCTGAAATTGGGTAGTAGTGGCTCGTTCTCACAACCATTGACATGGTGCGATACACTTTCCCTAAGAGGAGGTAACCTCATGGCGTTTCTGGATGCAGTATACGAATCTTCTCTAGATGATTGGCGGGACTGAAGCGGGTTGTGTTTGGGGCGACCATTATTTAAATCACCGTGGTGAAGAAGGGCGAGAGGTGTAGCTACACCACCGTACATGTTGTTGATGTCTAAAATAAAGTTAGATATTGTTGAATATTTTTCAGAATTTTGAAACATAGCATATTAATTTGATACGTAAAACTATTACAAACGTGAGACGTAGACTACATTTAACAATGAATCCCATATAATTCAAATATTAAAGAAAATATCAATTTTCTGTTAATTAATTTTGCAACTAATATATAGTCGCAACATCAGTAATCTTCTTCTAAGTATTCTGTCGTATATTTATAGATATAGGCCTCTTCCAACTACTTCCATCGATCTGTATCCTGAGCATCTTACTTCCAATTTCTTCCGGCTACTCTTTTTATATCATCTCCTCACCTCATCTGTAATCTTCCTCTTGGTCGTCTACCTTTGTAAGGTCTCCAATGTTGTATTGTGGCGTTTCAACGTTGGTCTTTTTGTCTAGTAGTGTGGACTGCGAAGTTCCATTCGAGTTTGACAATTGTTGTTATATCCTCGACGGTGGTTTTTGATCTTACCCAGTAGTTCCTCTTTTTTTCTGACAGTCGTATACAACAGATTGCTCTTTGCATTGTACTTTATGTTCATGTTCTTTCCATATTTGTCTTACTGAGTTTTCCAAATCCTGTCTATGCCAGTCTTGCTCTTTTAGTGATTTCCGCACTTTGGTTTTCTGTTTCAAGTTTCAGACTTTGGTCTGAGTAGATATATTTATGGTCTGAGTAGATATATTTATGGATAGATATATTTATATATTTATTGTAGTTCCTCGAATGTGCTCGTTATAATAACGGTGTCGTCAGTGAGTCTGAGGTGGTTTAACTTGTTGCCATTAACGTTGATGCCATAATATATTATGACCAATTTGTAGTTTTTAAGACGTCTTCTAGGGCTAGATTAAAAAGCTTTGGCGATATTACGTCGCATTGTCAAACTCCTCTCTTAATGGGGATGGGATTTCTATTTTTGTCTAGTCAGTAATCACTTTTATCAAAAACATCGATAATTTATTACTAAAACTCATCTAAAATAAAGATCACTTCTTCCGAAAATAAAAGAGAGCTTTCTTTAAATAATGACCCAGAAACATATTATTTATTAGCAATGATTTCTACATTAACGATATTTTGACTAGTTTCGATGTTTATTTATATCTTCATTGTTTCAAATTGTTCTTCACGGTATACGGTAACGTCAGAAGAACCAAATTTTTCTTCGCATCGGTGACAGCACGAAGGCCTTGAGTATTCTTCCCAAAAAGAGATAAATATCCGCATTGAAAAGGCCAGAGCACTGTCTCACAACGTGAAAATATGACACTTATAGTTTTCCCGTAGGCAAAACTATTTTTAAAAAATAAATTCTTTATTAATTAATTACAAAAACACGAAAAAGATCGACAATTTTAGATAAAGCTTTAATGCTCCTTCTTTCAAGTTTGTGAACAGACTGAAATGAAAAATATCTAGTTTTAAAATGCAATGGTAAAATGATAATTAAGTAAATATAAAAATGCAAAATAATCTTATTACAAAGTTCATTAAAACATAAATCCTGGATCATCATTATTAGGTGAATGACTAGAACAGGGCCGGCTCCTATAACTCACGTCACATGTTATATGGCCTAGATATTATCCTCGCGAAAACAAAGTACCTATCTACAATTGACGAAGACATAGAAGATCTACAGATTGATGACAACGTAAAAATCAAATGAAAGGATAAATTGAAATACTTGGGGTTTATAATCACGAAAAAGGCAACAACAGAGGAAGAAATTACGCAAAGATTAGGACAAACAAGAACAGGAATCCGACAACTCAGTATGGTGCGATAGACACCTAAATATGAAGACAAAAACACAGATTTATAAAACATTAGTGCGAAGTATTATGACATATGGGGCTGAAAATTGGATTATAAACAGGAAAAACAGCAGTAAGATAGTAGCAACAGAGATGGAATACCTGCAAAGATGGTGCAGAGTAACAAGAATGAATAGGAGAAGTAATGACGAAATAAAGCAAAGAACATCAATCGAGACAGACATACTAACATATATAGAACAAAAAAGACTAAAGTGGTATGGACATGTAAGAAGAACTAGCGATAGCAGATGGATAAAGAGAATAACCAGATGGAGCCCTATAAGAAGTAGCAAAAGAGGGCGACCCCTAAGATCCTGGAGGAACGAAGTAGACGAAGCAATGAGTAAGAGAGGCTTAAACGATGGAGAATGGGACAACAGATAGAGATGGAAACGGTTTGAGCGAGGGAAGATAGTGAACACTGTAGAATCCCTGAATATATATATTATATATATATATATATATATATATATATATATATATCTTGTATCTTGTCGGCATTACTGTATACAGTTGAAAACTAGACGCTCACTATATCTCTATTAAATAAACTTCCAGCTTTCGAAATGTGGGTGTAACGAAGGCTACTACTCCTATGCTGGGTTAACAGAGTGACAAATGAAGAGGTATTACATCGTCTAAAAGGTAACCCGAAGTACTAAAAATCGTAAAAATACTAAAATTGATCGTCTATCACGTGATCGAACAAGAACATCATGGCTTCGTAATCTAAGTGAGTGATTTAATCAGTCTTTATTGTCAATCTTTAGGCTGCGGTGTATAAAATTATGATATCCAATATCATAGCCAAGGATCAGTAACGGATATGATACGGAGAAAAGAAGAAAACAAACGACTTCTCGAACTGGTTCTCCAACCGTAATTCCTTTGAGATTTGAGCATTCGCCTTATTTCTATGTATTTTAAGAATTAAAATTGTTTTAAATGAATTTAAAGAATTTTATTACTAATACCGTATTATATCGCACCTAATTATACTCCCCACAATAAAGAGCAATTCAGCTAAATATATTGTCCCTTTTAGCATCTAGCTAACAAATAGCATATTTTAAGTTGTATTTGAGAAACCTTTCCTATTTTTCCAGCTTTCTGCTCATACCACGCATTATAAATCGGCCCCATGTTTGACCATTGCTCAGTATTACTATTAATCGTATCCTGTGATAAACATATCCAAATATATGTTACAATAGTTCTTATTTAACTCTTTCAGTTATCCTTTCTTTCTAGGATATTCCTAAACATTATTCAATGAGCCATCGATGGCAGATAAATTTCTATTCTTTACTATAAGTTTCTCGTATGTTTTGTATGTGTATTAAAAGAGCGCAGGAATATAGTGCTAAATAAAACAACTGTAGAAGTAAATAAATATTGAATATAAATCGAACTGCGACTATAAATACCGTTACGTTAATGATTAATAATTATCTATTGAATTTGATGTAACGAAAATATAAAAATATATGTTTTCTACAAGATGAAATAAAATAAAGTTAAAAAACTAAGCAATACCTTACAAATGTTAGAACCCTGTTAATTTTTCAAAATCGTAAACACATACAAAACCAAATCACAATAAACACTTTACCAATTCCTGTTAAAGGACGCCACAGCAACAACGAGAATAATACCTTTAAACTAAATTTTTATATTACCAATAGTTTCTTACTGTTCGCATTATTCGAGGTTGTCCTTATATTATTTAGTTCTTCAACTCTTAGAGTACCAGGTTGCTTTCTGTCTATTAGGAAATACGTTGTCATGTCACCTTTTCCTTTCACTTTTACTTTCCCACGGCACTGGAACTCGTAGGGATAAGATCTCAATACATGAAATACTTCTTCGGTGACTTGAGTATGATTAGGTAAACCTGTGGAATCCATTCGACTTGCAACGTTGACTGTATTGCCCCAGATATCATATTGCGGTTTTCTGGCACCTATCACTCCAGCCACTACAGGTCCAATGTTAATACCTACAAATCAAGGTTTTGATTATTTTGAAATTTTTCAATTGAAAAAGATATATGCATACAATTAGTTTTAGTATAAAATAGTTAAAAAAAAATGTAAAAATAAAAAAGTACAAAAATGAAGATTTAGACTTTACGACGACTCTAATGAGTGTCATGTACCGCTCAAACGACAAATTAAGGTTGATCTGCACCCCCCAAAAAATAAACTACAAATTCAAAAAATTTGAAAAAAATTGAGAAGGTATATGTGACAATTAAAAATATTTTGACAAAGTTTGAACAAACTTCATGTTTTCGTTTTCGAAAAAACTCTAAAAAACCACTTTTTTCCAAGTATAAAGCCGGAAAACCAGACATACAATTTTGATAATTTTTTTTACAGCATAAAGATATAACCCTAAGAAATACTTATGAATTTTTTGAAAATTTTTGAATTTACAGTTTTGTCACTACGGGAAAAAATGTTATGTTCCGGCTTATAATAAAGCTACCGGTAAGAAACCGGAAAAAATTTTAATAACAACATATATAAAACTGTAAAAGTGGAATATATTTGCAATAAAACGTTGAATATTTTTTCCTAAACATATGAAAAATCTCGTTAAACAATAATTATATCTTGAATTGCCGGCATCAAATTGTATACTAGAGAGGTGGCTCCATCTCAAACGTTGGTAGTATTTATCATCGATAGATTGCATTACTTTCGGCCTCGAAACGCTTCAAGCGAATCGTCATACTAGCAGGGTTGCCATATCAATTATTTTGTACAACACTTTGACAAATTACAACAAGATTTAATAAGAATGTTATCGGTTTGAATGAATTTTATTTGGCATGCTAGAACTTACAGAATAGTAGATACTGTACTATTCCATCTACAAGTAATATATCTATAAAAAACGTATTTAGTTTCTAAAAACATATTTAGGCGTTTTTAGTTAATTATTTTAGTATTTATAAACAATAGTCTTGCTTGCATAACGTATTAGTGATAATTTTTATATTATAATATAAGCATTAGTTATTCTTAAGTAATTCACATTTGTCAACTTGTATTTTAAATCTTGTTTCTCTTAATTTCTCAAAAATCTTCTTAAGATTTACCATATGTTCTTAAAGTGAGGTTGAAAATGTCCCTGTAGACTAGATATATTTCGCCTGTAAGTCTTTTTATTATGTTCTCCATTACCTACTCTCTAAAATGTTAAGGGTGCATTTTTGAGTCCGAATGGCATTCTCAGGCATTCATAGTGGCCATTTTCAACGTTAAGTCTTCCAGTTAAGTTCCCTTAAGTTATGCAGTCTTCCAAATATCTTCTTCCTTCATTTTAATTTGATGTAATCCGCAGGCTACAACTGGGTGGAAAAATATTTGCAGCGACCTAGTTTGTCCAGAATGTCTGTTATATTTGGAATTGGGTATAAACCATCGATGGTTTTCTTGTTCACCTTCCTGTAGTTGACAACTATTCTCTATTTAATTTTTCTTGGGCATCTGGTTGCTTTGGAATGACCCACATTGGGGACGACCAGGGCAATTGTCTCAGTTTGATGATTTCTTGATCGATCATCCTTATGGATGTGTGGATACCGATTTGACTTGGTGTAAACCGGAACTTCATCTCTTGTTCGTATATGATGTTTTATTTGATTAGTAAATGTTAACTGACGTCTGAATAATGAAATATGCATGATGCAAACTTCCTGCACTGTCGTTTTCGGTAATATTCTTCTATTGTATTAAAATGATCGGTTCTTAGGAAAGGATCGACATCTCTTAGATTTATTGGTTGACTTTTAATGGGATCCGTTATTGCTACTTGAATATATTCATCGGTGTTATTGACTAGCTCGGTCCAGGCAAGTTGATTATATGCGACGGTGAGAATTTCTCTTAGGACGGCACCTTCGACTTCTTGTTTTTGGATGACGATTTTACCTGATGTTTCTTTTACTGTTAATTTGACTTGTATAATTCTTTAGGGCTCTTGGTGGACTATATAGAATTGGGCTTTATTTGTGGCATAGTAATTAATAGGAAGAATAGAATGCGCTGTAGTAAGAGTAGCTTGGGTAGAATCGAGATTTGCTTTAAGAAGCCTTAAGATTAAGACCATCAAATGTCTTGTAAGCTTTGCAAATATAAAATTTTAAGTTAATATTTGAGTTAAATTCGGAAAAAATTGGAATTTCTACACAATAACCTTCTGAATGATTCAAAAAAATTTGTGTAGCAACTGGTTCATATTTAATATTATTTTTGAGGAATTTATTTGTTATATCAGGATTAAGAAAAGATTTAGTGGCTCTTGTAACAATAAGAAGTTTAAGAGGGAGATTTTGAATTTTAATGTAATGAAATCTTTGAAAATTTACATCTTTGTCCTCATATTCTTGGATTTTTTATTCATAGTAAGAGTAATCTGGGTATGTGTCTATATACCTTCGTCATAATTGCTCTTGTTGTTCGATATTAAAGAGCTCTCCTACCGTGAATCGGGGCCTGGCTGTTTGTTGAAAGCGGAAGTTTCTTTGAGATTGGGGTCTATTGCCGGTTTGGCGTGTGAATACGCTAATAGGTGTTGGCTTATATGATTGAGATGGATCTGGTTTATGAAAATTGGGTTGGTTAGTTGTAGAATTTTGTGCATATTGAGTGATTTGTTGTTTTTGTTGGAATCTAGGGGAAATCTTGAAATGTCCCTCTTGGACTATTGTTGAATGGCTGTTGTTGCAAAGGCATTTGATTTGGCCTAAAGAATGGCTGTGTCCATTGGGGCTTGGGTACCTCAGGCTGCCATCGTGTAGGAGCGGGTGTATGTGTCGTTTGTGAAGTGGCAGATGGTTTGTTAGAAGATGATAAGGAATAATTATGAGATTTTTGGAGATATCTAATATTATTTTTTTTTCTGAATATATCGCATAGCAAGAGCAAGATTCGGTGGTCTCATGGATGGAATTGTTGATCCTAGGGGTTCTATTAGACCTGCCAAAAATATGGTTAGAGCTTGTTGGAAAAATTTTTTTTATTTCTTTTAACTTTCTGATGTTATGTGTTCAATTCGATGTGATTTAAAATAGTATTTAAAAAACTCATGACTTATTCATGAAATTGATGAGGATTTTTGTCTGGGGCTCGACGAAGATTGACTAAATCTCCAGTTAATGAGTATTCGTTACGTTGGTCTGCAAAATTTTAGACAAAAACTGATTTCAATGACGTCCAGTATTTACAGCCTTATACAGAAATAATTTTTCTGACTCTTCCTTGAATTTTCTTCATAATTTCTCGTGTAAGCATATGATTTTAAAAAGCAGACCACCGCTACCAAAAATAAACTCTTCTAAAAAACTAGGTGCTCTGTTACGAATTATAAATACTGAAGTCCTATCCAATTACTTCGTACAAGCCCATACGCTGGAATATTTGCATATGCTTATTTACTGTGCAGCAACAGTAACAGCTAATTTAATGGGAATTAGGATCATAACACGACGAGGTACTAATACCGGAAGGGCTGATAACAGAGTTGCACCCTGGGAGAAACGGCTCCTAAACAAGATTGAATTATTGCGTAGGGACATTGGTCAAATGACAGAATATATACGAGGAACAACAAGTAGAAAAGTCATTAAAAGAGCTGATCAAATAATGCTAAGCACTTCAAGACACTCGCAATACGATCCAGCAAACTACAGAGAATGACAACTACAAGCTATACTGGGATCGCACTGTGCTCACAGACCAAACTGTAGCACATAATAGACCAGATCTCGTGCTAGTTAATAAAATAACAAGACAAACAACTCTAATCGATGTGGCGATACCTAACAACAATAATCTGAGTGTTAAGTACAACGAAAAGATCGCCAAGTACAGAGATCTGGAAATACAAATAAGAAGACAATGGAGAATGGAAAGTACCCAGACGATACCTATTACTCTTTCTACCACTGGAGTCATTCAGAAGAACCTCCTAGAAAACATAAAAAAGCTGGGTCTAAATGAACATCTATATAAGGTCATGCAGAAAGCTGTGCTACTTTCGACGTCCAGATGCGTGCGAAAATTTTTAGGCGATACACCGACGTACCAAGTCACCTAGGACTCGATAACATGGAAAGAGTCCCACCAGAGCTCAATCCTTTTGATATCGTAGGTATCTGGGATGAGTGAATTTTCCACTTAGAGGGAGTGTGAGCCGTATGGCTAAATCTGAATAATAATAATAATAATACTCCAAAGCAAACTTAATTAAAAGCACATAGTAAAAGCAATAAACACATACGCAATACCACTTATCACATTTGGCTTTATAAAGTGGTCGAATACGGAAACTGAAGAACTAATTAGATCAAATATAACCGTGATAACTAAATACGTATCAGCCACCCCAAATCATACATCTAACGCATGACACTACCACGCACACAAGGCAAGAGAAGAACGTTGTAATTTGGAAATATCACCCACTACTTAAAGATAGCAAAAAAACAAAGACAAAAATATATAGAGCAGGAATTAGACCAGTGATAGCATACGGAGCGAAAGTAATATGTCTTACGAAAAAAGATAAAGAAAAAGTAAGAATTATTAAAAGCAAAATTATAAGAATAAACAGCCCAATAAGGCCTGAACACGGAGAATATAGAAGACTAATGAAGCATGAAATAAGAGATAGAAAGGGGAAGAGATAGTAAAATTTATTAATCCACAAAGACTGTGATAATTTGAGCACATACAAATAAGAGAAGAAGACGCATTAATTAGGAAGATAACAAACCTGAAACCAGTAATAAAAAGAAGACATGTTCGCATGTTTTAGACGATTGACCATTTTTCATATAATTCGCACTAAAATATTTAATATTACCAGATAATTTAATTTTTAACTATCAACAAAAAAATAATATATGAATGCATGTATAAATTTAATGGTAATACGATACTACCGCTACAGACACAGATAGCGCCGCTAAGTACCTCTTTGGCGATA